ACAGAATAGAGCTCCCAGATCTTTTTTATCCTCCTCCTGAGTGTCACTTCTTTCCCATTCTCTATCCCGTAGAGTTCTCCCGCTCTTTTGTTGAGCCACAACTCAGAGTTCTCCGTTGATCAAGGTCAGGCTGGAAAACATGGTTAAAGTCCTTATAGACCCTTATAGACCAACTCCATTCATCTCCACTGCCCTCAACCAGCTCAGCCTGTTTTTCATCCTTAGTCAAGCAATTTTTTTTTCCATCCCTTCATCATCTTCCCTGACCTCACATCATTATCCTCCATCTCCCCCTCCTGCGCTCCTCCAATTGGACACACAGAAGCCACTCGGGGATAATGGCGCACCACTGACAGCAAAAGCAGAACGTGTCCTCTTAATCTGTGATTTCTTTACTGTAAGTGTTTATATGACAGGATACTTAATATACACAATGTAATATACGCAATAATACTATGTAATACACAATACCACAATAAGAAATTAAAATTTAATTCAATATATAATATTTTGTGAATATATAAAATAAATGTAATATAAAAAATATATATTAAATAAAATTTTATATATATATATATATATAATTAAATAAAAATATTTAAATAAAAAAGGAAAATAAAATTGACAAAGTTCCTAAATTAAAACATGGTAAAATAAAATAAAAAGGCTAGGCCAACCATTGTGAACTAAAAATACACACACACACACACACACACATATATATATATATATATATATATATATATATATATATATATATATATATATATATATATATATATATATATATATATATAAGAAACTGATGGCAGGGTATTTTAAGCTATAAAGAGGGAATAATAGATATATTATAATATAAAATAATTACATACGTTATTAAAATGATAAATACAATGCAGAGAAAAATAATTTGATATCTTGAAAACAAATTAGAAATATCAGAGAGAGATAAAAATAGATAGAAATAGACTGAAGATAGAAATAGACATAATGGTTAATCCTAAAAAATAAAGATGAAAAATCTGTCACTGGGGTGGTACTTTTTCAAAAAGTACACGTGAGCACAGTTTTGTACTTGTAGGGTAAAAATTGGTATCTTTAAGGTACTATGAAGTACACAGTTGTACTTGTTAGGTATAAACATGTACTGTAACTTTAAGGTACAAATGTGGATGTAATAGGTAGAAAAGTGTAAAACCTTTTTGAAAAGGTACCACCCCTGTAACAGCTTTTATACCTTTATTTCTGAGAGTGTAATAATGTTGATGAATTACAATATAGTTCAAAATTCTAAATTAATAAAATAAAAATTGTCAAATCAAACATTTAAGAAAAGAACATATTGACAGGCCGTGAAGTGAAATGACAAAATAGTAATATACATGAAAATGAAAAATTAATTCAATGTAATATATTTTGAGAACATAAAATACAAATATTTTCCCAGTACTGGGTTGCAGCTGGAAGGGCATCCGCTGCGTAAAACATATGCTGGATACGTTGGCGGTTCATTCCGCTGTGGTGACCCTGGATTAATAAAGGAACTAAGCCGAAAAGAATATAAATGAATGAGGGAACAATACAAATATGTTTTAAAAAGAAATTGAAAATAAAAAATTGACAAATTTCCAAAAAATGGAATATGATAAACTAAAAAGGCAAGGTTTTTGACCCAAACAAATATTGGTTAAAACATTTTAAAAATGGCTATATAACTATTTTCTTCAAAAATAATAAGAAACAAGGTATTTTTCAAATCAAATATTTAAAAGAAAAGAGACAAGATTGAAAACACAAATAAAACAACACAAATTATATCAAATTAATTTATAAGCCCACAATGCCACATTATAAAACATATAGTTAATATATATATATATATATGTTTTTAAGTTTTAAAAAAAGTTATTGAGTTACTCTTTTAAAAAGTAACTAGTTGCGTTACATAGTTACTTGTTTATGTTAAGTAATGCACTACGTTACTTTTGAGTTATTTTATGCGTTACGTTTTCTGTCCTGGCTGAGGCTTGATCTCTTTCAGTACTTGCAGGGTTTTTTCTTCTTTTTGTTTCAATAGGAAGAGCTCTGTAACTAACAACACACTGTACTGTAAAACCTACACCTTTATTCAGCTTAAGAAAACACATCAAAACTAATAATGTAGGATCATGTTATCTTCTGAGAACTTCCTGAGCCCAGTGCTCCACATGCTGTATATACAGATTAATAATAGTTTATAGCAATATGTTTGCTACATTTTGTCTTAATAGTGAAGTACAAACCTTTTTCTGGTACAATTTCTTTTCAAGTACAATATGTTCAAAATAACGAGCGCATTCTTTCATCTCAAGTTCATCTGTAGTTCAGCAATTTACTTTTTAAAAGCTAGTTATTTAAACAAAGTCGTGTTACATTTCTAAAAGAGTAACTCAAATCTTATTACTTATTGTTTAAAAGTACTGTGTTATATACATATAATATATACATATATACATATAAATTAATAATTTACATTAATGCAAATAAATGACATGGTATTTCTCAAATCATAATAGCAAATCCACACACACACACAAAAAGTTTTGTTTAAGGGGGTGTCATTATGCGCCTGATTACTCCGTGACGACAGACTGGATGAGGGAGAGTTATGATGGGTGTTATTATTGTTCAGAGGCAGTAAGGTATGCAGAGATGATTGAGTGGAGTGGATGTTTAATTAAGTTGATGAGTGCTTTAATTGAAGCCATAAATGGCATGGTTGTGAATATGATCCGTCATATTGCATTTTGAGTTTTATGTAGATGAACACATTACTTTAATGGGCCGGCGTTTTACAGCGCTGGAGGGGGGTTTTGGGACGGAGCGATAGAGATGGAGGGTCTTCCCTGTTCACTTCTACAGCAGCCAGATGGAAAAGAATTAAAAGACGCTTCTAATTCACGGCACTGCCTCCTGGGGAAATGAATATTGCAAGGCCGGGTCGTTTCTGTTTTTGCCAGAAACGGAGAGAGAGAGAGAATAGAAAATAATTTAGTCTGGATGAGCAGGAGATCCCACAAGCAGATTGAAGCTCAGGTAAACGGATCCATTCTATTCTTAAAGAGTGAGTGACCCGTGTTAATGGACTGCTGGAAAAGCTGAAACTGTAATGGCTTATTAGACATGAATAGAGACGAGCCGAGAAAGAAGGAGAGGAGCCCGCAATCATTACCGGCATGATAAAAAGACATTAATTAAGCCAAAGAACAATGGTGTAAAAATGAGCCGTTTAATATTGGTAAATGATTGCGCTTTTCACCGATTCGTTAGATTACAGTCTGAGGTTAAAAACAAAATGTGTCTTCTGTCTGGTGAGATTCTGCATTATCAAGTTAGCCTCCGTCTGTCAGTCTACAGAAAATGTGTCTGCATGTCAATCAATCCATTCATCCAATCTCTGGAAAAATGTATAAGACTTTTAAAGGCAATAATATTAATAACTTCAAAGCATTAATATATGACAAAATATATATGAATATTGGTTTATTAAAAAAAAAACATAAATGGACATTTTACTGAAAACAATACCAAAACATTATTTATAAAAGATCCCATGTTGCATTTGTGAGTAATTAAGTAGGGAAGTAAGGAAGGAAAAGAGAGTAGGTAGGATGGAAACTGAAGGATGGAAGGAAACGGGAGTATTGTAGATGGAAAAGGACAGAATATGGAAATGGAAGGAAGTAGGAACATAGAGAAAATGAAAAAGAAAGGAAGTAAGATAGAAAAGGAAGAAAAAGTAAAAATGAAAACTAAGGAAGGAAAAGAGGAAGGAAGATAGAACAGGAAGTAAGATGGGAAAGGAAGATAAAAAAGGAAATGAGTTGGAAAAAGAAGAAAGAAAGATGGAGAAGAAGGAAGGAAGGAAAAAAAGATGGAGATGAAAGATGAAGATAGTAAGGAAGGAAGCTGGAAACGGAAGTAAGATGGAAGTGGAAGATGGAAAAGAAAGGAAAATTGAAGTCTAAGATTGAAGGAAGGAAGGAAAAGAGGAAAGAAGATAGAATAGGAAGGAATATAGAAAGGGAAGGAAAGAAAGTTGGAAAGATGAGAAAGAAAGAAAGAAAGAAAGAAAGAAAGAAAGAAAGAAAGAAAGAAAGAAAGAAAGAAAGAAAGAAAGAAAGAAAGAAAGAAAGAAAGAAAGAAAAAGAAAGAAAGAAGAAAAGGAAGGATGATGGAAAAGGTAGAAAGGAAGGAAGGAATGAAGGAAGATGGAAACTGAAGTAAGATGGAAAAGGAAAGAAGAAGGGAAAGGAAGCATAAGTAAAATGGAAAGGGAAGGAATGAAGGTAAGTAAGATGGAAAAGGAAGGAAGATGGAAAAGGAAGGAAGGAAGATGGAAAAGGAAGGAAGGAAGATAAACACCTCAGTTTACATTTGGTGAAAAGTAAAATATGTTGGTCCAGGAACTTTTTTTTTTATTTGTTTTTTTGTTTTGTTTTTTTTGCAGTTTCAGATCACAAATCCACTAGGGGGCACTGTCTACATTTTTGTGTACCAGAATTGCGTTACTCCAATTCACATCCCTCTTGTACACGTCCTGAACACAGATCAGCTAGACCAAGTGTTTTGAAAAGCAAACATAAGAGCAAAGTGCACTGCGACCAATCTGTTTTGTAAACTTGAGTGCTCTGCATTACAAGTACAACACCGTACAAAAGAACTACAGAGCAAACTGAACACTCATGGAGATAGATCGGTGATGCAAATGTTTTACTTTAAAATCATAGACACCGTTAAGCTGTTTTGTTTTGTGGTATTTATTTGGTGCTGTGCAACAAGCCTTTGTTCATCAATAATAAGTCTCTGTAAATATCATTAGTGTTAAAAGCAACAAAAGTTGTTGGCATCATACTGCCCCATAGCATTCATTTAACCTAGAAACTGCTGTCAAACGTATGTACAGTCACATTTTACATGATGAGATCAGAGTTTTGCTAACCCATCTATACTCTTCACAGGTGGAATGTGCTCGGTCTGCAGGGGGCGCTGCTCAGCCATTTTGTGGAGCCGGTATATCTGTACAGCCTGACAGTGGGCAGCCTGAGACACACAGGACACTTCTCAAGGATGATGAACCACAGGATGGAGAAAGCCGGCCCTCTGCCCACTTGTTACCGTCGTAACCAGCCATTACTCAGTGGTATTTACCTTTCTTTATTAACGAAATGTTTCATAGAGTCCATAGTGTGTTTCGTTGCTAGTGTAATTAGTCTCACTTGCACCAGTCAGAGTGAGATTTGAACCAGCGCTAAACAGTATGTGCAGTAGGGCTGCGCAATATAAGCAAAAAAACCTGACATTTCGTTTTTCTGGGATATTTATGAGCAATATCACACGAGTGCGATATGGCTGTATATCAGCACTAGTGAGAGGTGTGTTGGCTTGAGGCCACAGGCTGAGTGCCTTAGTGTCTCACCAGTTACAATATACAGCCATATTGCGCTGCTACGAGTGTGATATTGTGTTTATACAACAGTTAAATGGCATAACCGTGTATATAAAAAAGAAAATCAAACACAGAGTCTCAAAAACTCTTTTGTCTGAGGAACTACTTTCTTCCGCCAATCATACATCTGTAGCTGACATCAGAACAGCAAAAACCCTTGCTAATTCAATGACATCACTTTAGAGCCAGTATTAGAATGATTCTCTAGCGTAATGTCTAAAGTGATGACAAAACAGGTGATTTTGCTCACATTTTATGATTTTAAGGCTGAACGGCATCAGTCTACATACATCTCCCGGTATTTCTCTGTTGCAATCGCAATATCACAATAACTAACCCTAAAAAGCTAAAGCTAAGCAAACACTAGCAGATTACTATGGTATAAATACAGCACTACTACATACAAAAGAGAGAGAGCCACTTAGAATGTCACCTACCTGTTTAATAATTATTTGATCAGCTGTAGTTTGAAATTTATGCTGAGTTTTTCTCCTCAAGGACTTATTATGCTGTCTATGACGCCATCTTGTGGCAGAATGTCATCAGTCAGTTTCTTTGCTCTACTGATGGCAGCCAATGTGCTAAAAAAATTATAAAATTATATATATATATATATATATATATATATATATATATATATATATATATATATATATATATATATATATATAATTGCATAGTGGCAATCTAAACAACCACATTATTAAGTAAAAAGGCCTCAAAAGTGCATTATGTTGTCCAACATCTGCAATATTTGTCAAACTGTAGTAAGCTTATTCCTCTGCTTGTCATGGGGGCAAAGTAATACACATAGGGTAAAGAGGCTGTACAAATGCTGAAATTGCAGAATATTGCATGGCTATCAGCCAATCAGATTTGAGAACCAGGCAGAACTATTGTATAAACTCCAATATGAGCGTAGTTAGACAAGATTGCTATTTGGAGAGAATTCCTACTTTTATATTAATTGGAATAATTTGTAGTTGTACTGTTAATTGCTAAATAAACAAAGTATTTCGCTGTGAGAATTTTGCTGCTTTAACAGAAGCCAAATGGTAAAAAAATGTGTAAACCTCGCTCTCTTGACCATTGAGTTATGCATTAGCATTTCCCAATTGATACTGTTCGCATACTGCTCCGATTGGTGCAAGTATCCCTAATAACACCACACTACCTGACATTTCTGTTCAGTGAGCTGTTGTCTAAGCAAAGTCAGACTTTACTGTCTTAATGAAATGATTGAAAATCAAGGCATGATATATTATAATATTATATATATATATATATATATATATATATATATATACACACACACACATTATAATATATATATATATATATATATATATATATATATATATATATATATATATATATAAGCAACTTCTACCAAAACTAACATTTTTTATTTGTTGTATCTAAGATTTGTATAGACAACAAGAATTGTGTCAGGTAGTGTAGCGACTCCAAGGTTGTGGGTTTAATTCCAGGGAACACCCAATTAAAAACCATGTAAAGCTTGAATGCTCTGTTAAACCTCTGACCAATGCACTAGCAGACGTGACCTTAAGCACACAGAGGACACTCCGTCTCACTCTGTCACTTTGTTATACTGCTCTCCTGAGCGTAAGTATGGCAGACGCAGTGCTCTATTGGATCTACCCATCCTCCAAATCAATCTCATCAAACACCTTATCACTGGGACAGAAGAGGAGAGAGATTCATTCAGTCTTCCTCTCACGCCCAGTGGGCTACACGTCTCCACCACAGCCCCTTTCACCCCCATTGATGAGCTTCTCATCCTTTGTCTGGCCTCTCTTGTTGGGGAAAATGGCCTGGTTATTTTAGGCATCGCCATCATAAAGGGTGCAGAGTTCCCAAGAAGCGGCTGAGATCTCTTATCATAAGAAAAGCAAATGACCCCTTCAGTCAGGAAGCTGAAGCGAGGCTGTACACAGTGCTCATACCTGCACAAAACACTCGGATGCTTACATTACAAAAGCCTGTGTCTCAAAAAGAAAAGCATAACATGAAGCTGATTAGCGACGTTCTTGTGTAAAGCACACTGCATGATGGATAGACTATATCGTTAGTGACAGTAAATGAAGACAGCTTAAGGGAAAGTATAAATGACTGGTAATTCCTTCTAACTTTTCCTGCGACTCATTATTTGTTTATTATTAACTCATTATTTTGTCTCACTTAAAGCACAGGGGAGGTCATTAAAATGCATTTTACTATATGCAGGTTGCATTTTTATTATGCAAATTTTAGATTGAAGTTCAAAACAACTGTGTTTACAAATGTATGTATGTAAATGCATGTATAATGAATGTGCTGAATACGAAGGAGCTTAAATACAGTATTATAATTATTATACATGAGATGGACGCATTCGTTTTTAAAGTAAAATGCTTTTTTTTCTACATCAAGGAGGTCACAACCTCTTTTTTATTGCAATTTTAGAACACAGAACATACAAGAGCAATAACAACATTATATTTACATCCAAACAAATACAATAAAAAATTAAATATAAAATACAATTATTCAAAATACTAAATTTATTTTAAGGCTTTAAAATAATTAATATACAGTTGAAGTCAGAATTATTAGCCCCCTTTTGGTTTTTATTTTCTTTTTTAAATATTTCCCAAATGATGTTTAACAGAGCAATGCAATTTTCACAGTATGTCTGATAATATTTTTTCTTCTGGGGAAAGTCTTATTTGTTTTATTATAGCTTGAATAAAAGCAGTTATTAATTTTTTTAAAAACATTTTTGGGACAAATTATTAGCCCCTTTAAGCTGTTTTTTTTTTTTTCGTTAATCTACATAACAAACCATCGTTATACAATAACTTGCCTAATTACCCTAACCTGCCTAGTAAACCTTATTAACCTTGTTAAGCCTTTAAATGTCACTTTAAGCTGTATAGAAGTGTCTTGTAAAATATTATTTACAGTCATCATGGCAAAGATAAAATAAATCTGTTATTAGAAATAAGTTTTCAAAACTATTATGTCTAGAAATGTGTTGAAACAATCTTCCCTCCATTAAACAGAAATTGGGGAAAAAAATAAACAAGCGGTCTAATAATTCAGGGGGGCTAATAATTCTGACTTCAACTGTAATTATATATATAAATAATACTGCCCGTTTACATTTATAAATTAAAAATATGCCAAATTTTGAAGCTGTATTCAAAAAATATGATCTGAAATAAGATCTGTACTTGATGAAAGATCTTCTATGAATACCAATGCTATATTCGTACTCTGCTTAACAAAAAAGAACAATACTTATAAATGATGTATATATAAATAAATGAACAATACTTTCTTCTTTATTTTTACAGAAAGCACATCTCAAACGATGAACAGTTTTAAATGATTCCTTTCTAATTGTATTTGTTATACAAAAACGTCTGGAAATCTTACAAGTCTCGTTCCAGTTAACATCTTGAAATAGTGATCTCCAATGACCAATAGCTGAAGAAACATTGACAATCCGGTAAATCATTCTAAGATAATTATAATTACATTTTTTTCTTTTATATTTATATCTTCCAATTTAAGAATAAAATGGCACCATCTTGAGATAGCAAACATGGTAGTCTCAACCATGTATGTTAAGTTTATAAGACTGCAGTGTTACTTTAGCTTCAAGCAGTCTTTTAAGCTACAGTGTAAGCAGCATTATGTCATGAAAGTAGCATTTGATGGTGGGCCTGATATGAAGCTCCAGCAGTCTGTGAAAATCTTTTTGTATTGAATCCATGGATCTATAATTTGAGAAACAAAAGGTACAAAGAAAAGGCAATCTATTTTATCAGGCAGGAGCAACGAGGGCAGTAGTTCTAGGAACTATACTCTCATTCTGATGTAATTATCAAGGGAATTTGCTGCAGCACCACGGCTGCACACATCAAGTGGTCATGCTAGAAATGACCTAGCTGATAACTATTTTCAGGTGCTGTGTAATATCATTGTTCCTGCTGCAGCCATGGAACAACAGAAAAGTCTATTACACAGGAATGAGTATATATAGTTCCTATATATTTCTAGGAATATAGTTCCTAAACATATCAGCCGTGAAAATGACAACTTAAATTGTTCCGTCAGTCTCAGTAGATGATTTAACTTCAGAAGAGTAAAACTTTAAATAGGAAAATTTTCAAAACTCTTTGGGTCACTTTTGACCGTGATGCTAGTCCGATTCAATTGTCTATGCCAGGGGTTCCCAAACTTTTCAGCTCACGACCCCAAAAATAACAATTCCAGTGACTCTTGATCCCCAGTATCCTTGGAGGTGGTTATAATCATTCAAACATTGCACGCAATGGTGCACACACACCAGTAGGAACTATATAAACAAGCTTATTGGCAGTCTAACAACCATATGATTTTTTAGTAATTATTATTTTGTTTAATATTAACCAATGTTTACAGCACATGACTATTCTTGATTTAAACAATCTATGGAGACTTGGACATTGTCCTCTATGTTTAATCATTGCCTTAATTTTTAATGTACGTGAGTGTCGAAAAGGTATCAGAGTCTTACATTGAGCTGTAAAATCAATCTGCTGAAACTGACACTATTGCTGTTTCATTAATCTAGCATAATAACCCCAGGGGTCACAATCCAATAGAAAAAGAATTATAGGCTGATTTTTATTTGCATGTTGTTT